TTGATCTATGTGTTCTTAGGTTTCCTTTGCTTCCTGTCCCAGTGTAGGAGGTACAGGGATGAGATTTGAATTTTCAAATTTTGCTCAAATTCATCAACCTCAAATTTTGGTGCTGACCCATAATGACCTGTGCACCCTTGACCCTCATCAATATTTACACAGCATCAAATAAGTTGTTGGAGATGAATAACCCCTCCACCCACTAAAAGAGGGGAAGCTAAATACAGCCATTGGGTTGATTTACTTAAAGTAAATAGACTGTTCACTTTGCAAGGCAATTTGCAGTTTGCAAGGGATTTCTCTCCAGATTCTAGTGAACGAGGTGAAGCTCTGCTGATTTACGTCATCCAATAATATGCAAGCAAATATGCTGTTTTTAAATTTTCCCTGCACATGATTGGGTAGTGTTGGTAAAGTAAAATTTCACAAACACTCACAATGCTCTGGGGAGAAATTCCCTGTGCAAAGGGCAACTTCCTTTGGAAAGTGAACAGTCTGTTTTTCTTTAGTAAAACAACACCATAGTGTCAGTGTGTTGGAGCTGGTAAAAGTGAAAGGAAAGTGTTCTGTGTATTATAGTGATGAGTTATACTCTTCTTTGTCATGTCATGTCTTCTCATGTTCATGGGATTTCATTGAACCCAATAGTCCTTTTAAAGACTGAATATTGTTGCCAACTAGAGATGGCTTGCCCTTCAGTACTTAACCCCTTAGCTGTTTTTTTTTCTTATAATTGTCATCTTTTCCCTATGTCTTTTTAAACTTTTAAAAGTTTGGAGATGAGTTATAGCAGCAGTAATTTTATGGACTTTTCTTTTGGGTTGGGGAAAGGTTGGTAACTTAGTAGTTGTTTATTTTCGGGGGGCATTTTGTTTTTTTTCCTATTTTGTGGGTCATTTGTTTTCTTTTAGTTTGGGGTGATTAGAGCACAACAGTCACTTGTCACTGGCATATCTTTTTCCTCTTATTATATCCAGCTCATCAGCTCCTGAACCTTATCTTGCCCTAGTGTCATAGAAATCAAATAGAAAAAAAAACAGGTTGAAGATTTTACCCTTCTTTATCCAAAAGTAGAAAAACAGTTTTGGCTGGGAATAGTCTTTTTTAAACAAAGCTTGAACAGTTATAATATTCCACATGAAATGCATTAAAGTGTACATGTAATCAAAACTTTACATATAGCTGTGTGTACACACAAATACACATTTTCTTCTGTAATTTCTTTGTAAGACTGATGTTAGTAGTGAGATCTTCTTGGTGATCCTGCCAGGATACTGAAGTCCTTTAGAATACAAGAGGCACTTAGTTTCTTGCTATGGGCTGACATTGGTGACACTGCCGCAATGAAATAATAATCAGTGTTGTCAGTCCTGCATGTGCAGTTCTTTGCTGGACTACAAGACAATGTTCCTACTGTAGCACAGTATCCTCTGATCATCTTTCCAACTTCAGTGGCCATAGGAAGTGTAGCTCTGTGACTTCTTGCATAGCAAGGTGGCATAGAAACTACTCCGAGCAGCAGTAATGATATCAAAGCACTTTTTACACTAATAATGTTTAGACATGTGCACAACAGAAATTTTCATTTCATTTTGGATGCATTCGTTCACTGAAGAATTTCTATTCAATTTCGGAATTAATTTCGTATCTTCAGCATCCATTTCGTATATTCATTGGTCCAATGCATTTGAAAAATGATGCAGTTTTTTTCTGGAAGATTGCTACTGTATATATTCAATATATTATGGAATCGATTCAATATTTCCAGATGCTAGTCCAACCCACCAAGAGAAGTGGCATGAGCTGATTGGAAAATATTGACTGGCGTCATGTGCATCCAGATTAATGAATGAACAAAATTTGGATCCATTCATTAACTGAATCCCAATTATTGAACAAATTTTAAAATGAATGCATTTCCCCATCTGCCCAAACTATTGCAACGGCAAATGAAACAAATGCATTCGTTAATTTCATTATAACTTTTTTTCCTCAGAGTACATGCACCGGCTTTACAAAAGAGAGAATATCATAAATGGTGCACGTTTAGGAGATATTGATTTTACCTACAGGTAAGCTTTATTATAAGCTTACCTGTAGGTAAAATAAAAAAAAACAAGTTTACTACCACTTTACAGGAGAAAATTTGGGGCTGTTAAGAAAGTAAACATATGCAGTATATTCGCTTCTATGCTACAGCATCATTGTGATGCCGCAGATGTTCCACGTCCGCTCTAAGACTGAGAACTGGGCATTCACATGACCACTGATGGTTCAGTTGTTGGTTTGCTCAGAACGGAGAGCAGTGACTGTCTGTTCCCGCTCTCCACCCTGCTCCTCCAGTGCTTACTGGAGTTCCGAGTGGAGGAAGGGACAGGTGCAGCTGCTTTCTGCTCCCAGAAGCATGCTGGGAGCAAAAATAAAAATGTAAAACCATGCGTACTTGTATACTTTTACACTTTTTGTGCTGCAGCACTGGATCACCAAAATTTCTGAACCACAGAAGTTCTGTCTCTCTGCACTAGCATTAAATTAATCTGTACTGTAAATATTATAGTATAGATTCTTCACAAAGTGATTCAAAAACACTGCCTCTTCAGGCTATCTTTCATCTTCAAAGCAAAAGTGATGGGTGACTTGCCCTTGTTTGCGATTTCACCCTGGTTTTTCTATGTGGAAGTAAACCACCTAATTTGAATGTAAATACGATAATAGATTTGCTGTCAGAGTTGACAGTACTGCCAAGTCCTATCTATGTTAATTGTTTTTTCTATTCCGTGCCAGGTGGAAACTTGCATTTGACTTCCAAGTTCTAAGTGCACCATTCATTAATAATTAATGCCATGTTCATTTGTCAAAGTTGTGACTGTATTTCTCACAAATCATTGATACAGAAGGAGGATGTAGTGCTCTGAAATTTACTGAATCAGCAAGCCATCTGTCAAAATGTTTTAATAGAAGAACGGTCTCTAATATTCAATTATAGCACTAAATTATTCTTTATTCCTAAGGAAATAAAGAGTGCTGGGAAAATATATTTTTTGTATATTGAATTTAAAGTACTTAATAGGATTAGTATAAAGATGGAAGATGAGATTAGAATGAAGACACTGCTCTTACATTGGGTAATCATTGGTGGCTTGCGTTCTGTTGCTCTTGGGAATCTCCGCTGTCTTTTTGGTGACAAACCTGTTACAGACCGAGATGAGGCTGAACTGAATCTCCAGCTCCGGAAGAAGACTTCTGTGCAGACCAGTAGAGACAACACAGCACAGAGGAGCATCAAAGCAGGAGCTGTCCTCTTCCATACCTTCATCTTAAGAACAATCAAGGCATTGAGACTCTACAAAAGACAGATACACATGCCAATGTCAGTATATACAGTGGTACAGCATCATATGTTAATGTACGCAGGGACATTTACAAACTACTGTAAGTTAACAGCATTTCTAAGGATAATGAGGATAATGCCAAATTTTATAATTTGTTCCCCTAATCTAAACACAATATGTACTCTATATTTTGAAATTATTAACCAAAAAAAACCTGCGCCAAAAAATATATTTAACTCCTAAACCAATGTTGCTGCTCTTTCTTTACAAACCATCAAACAAAATAAATGAAAAAAAAAAAAAAAACAGTGCAAAAAATATATACATGTTAATAGATACATTTCTTGGAGCACATTGGATTTAAGATATCTTCATTCTTTGGATTGGGACCAGTGGCGTCCTGAGGCAGGTGCGGCCCACACCGGGTAACACCGACCGCACGGGGTGATGCCGGACCCGCTCCACGAAAAGGTAAGTTGTAAAGCAAGGCGACGATCCCTGCAGGATGGATCTGATCCATCCTGCGGGGATCGTCGGCTTTCTCTACAACTTACCTTTTCGTTGAGCGGGTCCAGTGTCACCCCATATAGGTTGCATGCTGACGATCCCCACAGGATAGATCGGATCTGCGGATTGGGGAGCATAATGGATTGGACACCAACTCTAGGGACGCCCCTGATTGGGACTTTTATTTTTGCACTTTTATTTGGACATTATTTCATATATTATTTTATATTTTGAAATGGAAGCCCATTTCTGGATACAAATCAATCTCCCACCGCCAAAGTTCCCATTATTCAGCAATGCATTTAATGCAAAAAAAACCCTGATTTTTTAGTCCGCTGTGCCTTGCTAGCTGCCGTTTGTCATGACATCGGTTTGTTTGTCATCACATCATCCTGCAGTTGCAGTCCTCTGAACTCTAGGACACTGCAGCTTGACAGCCAAATGAAAGAGTCTATGTCACCCAGACAGTGATGTGACACCTGAAGAAGAAAGTGTGAGGAAGCGGCGCACAGGAACGCAGAGGCTGTGATGGTGAAACTTGCAAATTGTGTTTCTGGACTTCTCTTTCAGTAGGCTTTTATAGTTGGCATATGTAGGCATTACTGCTGATCAACTCAAATAAAGAAAAACCTGAGGTTTTAGTACTACTTTGAAGGAAATTATGGAAGCTATCATTTCTGGTTTGAGATTTTGACCCAGAAAAAAGCAAACTCATAATGAAATCAAAAGTCCCGATCTCCATAACGGGTCTAACAAAGTGACTCAGAAAGTACTGGATCACTGTGACAATCAGGGAGGTGGTATTTTCAGAAGGTAATGGCAGTCTCAGATAAATCACACATGAAGGCAGGCACCTAGAAGCACCTGTTCTATGAGTGAGTCTACAGGTTAACAAAATACCTACGCAACATGTTCATGTTTTCAAATTACAAACTACAAATACACCAGTATGGATTACACCTTACTTAGAATTTTGTTCCAAGATGATAGCATTAAGGCCTCATTCACACCATACGTGCAGAAGAACTGATGGAAACTGATGTGCAGATTTCACTTGTAGAGACATCAGTTAGCATCAGTTTTCATCAGTTTTCATGCGCGCTTCAATGAGTTTTATACACATTGCAGAAAAAATCTGCACGTGATACTAGTGTTTTCTTTAACCACTTCCTGCCCGGACACTTTTACCCCCTTCCTGTCCAGGGCAATTTTCAGCTTTCAGTGCTATCACACTTTGAATGACAACTGCACGGTCATGCAACACTGTACCCATATGAATTGTTTACCATTTTTTTTAAACAGATTAAGCTTTATTTTGGTGGTATTTATTCACCACTGGGATTTTTATTTTTTTTTGCTATGTAAATGAAAATGTCCAAAAATTTTGAAAAAAAGTGTTTTTCTTATAAAATTTTGCAAATAAAACATATCATCATAAATCTTGGCCAAAATTTATTCTGTTATCTTTTTAGTAAAAAAAAAAAAAATAAGCCAAATTAGTTTATAACCAAAAATTATAATTTTTAAACTTTTTTTTACATTTTTATTTTATTTTTTTATATTATTATTTATTTATTTACATACTGTAACCCTAGCAGTACAGTGTCACCATGGTGACACTGTACTACTTGTGGGGGGTGATGAAGATTTTTTTTTTTTTTTACACTGATTGCTTTTACACCCATATAGGATGTAAAATCAATCATTTCTCTTTCTCTCTGTCTGCATTCTTGCAGCCATTGAGAACTACTGAGTGAGCTGTGATTGGTCACAGTTTGTCACATGGTACAAGGCTGTTGTGAATAGCCTTGTACCATGTGACCTCTGTGATCATTCACAGATTTCACATGTAGTAAGCAATGATGTCACAAGTGACATCTTGCTTACTACTTTGCATGTGATCACTGATTGGCCGTACAGAGGTCCCGTCCGATGATCGGTGTTTCACTGTCCGGAGGAGCACCGGATTGTGGTGCTGCCCAATGAGCGCGCACAAGCAGGGTATGGGGTGGCCATTTATAAATGGCCACCCGACCCTGCAGTGCCACCGTCCGGCCGTTTATATCCAACGACCGGACGGGAGGTGGTTAAATTAATGAATTTATTTAACTTTTATTTGATTTTCCAGTACAGAAAGAACAACACATTTATAAAAATATTTCACGTATACATATTCCATTTACCCCAATATAACCCCTGCCCTTCCGCCCTACCACCAACCCATTTTCCCCATCTACATCCTCTTTCCTGAACTAAATCTTCTGTTCATGATGCTAGTGTTGTGGTGTGAATAGGGCACATAGGGAGCAATTGATTTCTTGTGCTCTTGCAGAACGCGTGCAGAAAAAATGACATCTCTGCACCACGGTGTGAACGAGTCCTTAATGCTATCATCTTGCAACAAAGTTCTAAGTAAGGTGTAATCCATACTGGTGTATTTGTAGTTTGTAATTTGAAAACATGAAAAACTAGCCATTATCTTTTTTTTGAAATTTTGGGTCTAGACCTATTATCTTAAAGATAATATCCTATTCATAATTGAACATTGCTGTAGACCGCTGTGGAAGGTCAGGCTATCAGTTTAACATTTGCAGTTAGCCATGAAGAATAGAGCTGCAAAACACTTCTTTTTGAACTTTTAAGACTGCTAAAATATTTCCATATGTAAGTGACAGTTCCAGGGGTTAAGACAAATCATATAACACTGCCGGGGGTGCTTACAATGGTCATTTTTCATTCATAGGGTTAAAACCCATTCCGTCTAAAAGAAAAAATACATTCCTGTAACTGCTTAAAAAGTGTAAGGGCTCATGTACACAGGATGTTTGGAAAAACACTTCTGAATGATGGAAACTGCTGGAAAATGTAGGTTAAAAAATGTCTGTTTAGCTACCGCGTTTATGTGTGTTTGCGTTTAGAAGCGTTTTTTAACCACTTCCGGACCGGCCGTTGTATATAAACGGCCGGACGGTGGCACTGCAGGCTTGGGTGGCCGTTTATACACGGCCTCCCTGCACCCTGCTTGTGCGTGCTCCCCGGACACAGTGAAACACCGATCGTCGGACGGGACCTCTGTACGAGGACCTCTGTACGAAGTCCCGATCATGTGATCACTGATTGGCCAATCAGTGATCAGATGCAAAGTAGTAAGCAAGATATCACTTGTGACATCATTGCTTACTACGTGTGAAATCTGTGAATGATCACAGAGGTCACATGGTACAAGGCTATTCACAACAGCCTTGTACCATGTGACAAGCTGTGACCAATCACAGCTCACTCAGTAGTTCTCAATGGCTGCAAGAATGCAGACAGAGAGAAAGGGAAATGATTGCTTTTACATCCTATATGGGTGTAAAAGCAATCAGTGTAAAAAAAAAAAAAAAAAAATCTTCATCACCCCCCAAAAGTAGTACAGTGTCACCATGGTGACACCATACTGCTAGGGTGACAGTATGTAAAAAAAGAAAAAAATAATAATAAAAAAAAAAATATATATAAAAAAAATGTTTAAAAATTATAATTTTTGGTTATAAACTAATTTGGCTTATTTTTTTTTTACTGATAAGATAACGGAATAAATTTTGGCCAAGATTTATGATGAAATATGATTTATTTGCAAAATTTTATAAGAAAAACACTTTTTTTCCAAATTTTTGGACATTCTCATTTACATAACAAAAAAATAAAAATCCCAGCGGTGAATAAATACCACCAAAATAAAGTTTTATCTGTCTCAAAAAAATGGTAAAATATTCATATGGGTACAGTGTTGCATGACCGCGCAATTATCATTCAAAGTGTGATAACGCTGAAAGCTGAAAATTGCCCTGGTCAGGAAGGGGGTAAAAGTGTCCGGACTGGAAGTGGTTAAAGAGAACATCATTAGACTTTCCAAAATGCCCAGAATGCACTGAAAAACAGTACAAAATTAACTATTTCAGACATTTTGAGAGAAATAGAGCAGAAGCAGAGAGATCAGTATGTGTTGAGATTACCTGTCTTTTCTGGTTGTATTCACTATGGATCCCATCATGAGGATAATGCAGCACATTCTACCATTTTTTCCTTCATGCAAAACCTGGAACTGACTGCACTGGTGTACTAGGTCCATTTGAATACATGGAAAATGATTTGCTTGCATTTCTGATGATGAAAAAAGGCTCTGGACAGAATTTGGATATGGAACAGTTAAAAAATGCTTCTAAACGCAAATGCTTATAAATGCGGTTAGCCACATTTACACGCGTTTACAAGTTTACGTTTGGCTTTTGAAACGCTGATAAAATCTACTCCTGAAGGCAAGTTTGGTGCGTTCAAAAAAACGACTGTAAACCCAACTGCCTGTAAATGACTGTAAACAACATAGTGTACATGGACACATAGGGAAACATTAGGGAGAGTTCAGGGGCTGCTGAAAAAAAAACGCAGAAAAGCTCCTGAACGTCAGTTTATCAGCTGCAGTCTACATGAGCCTTTAGCTGGAGTTGTAATTTAAAGCCCAACTCCAGGATGGAAAAATAAAAAAGTCTTGCAGTACCCCCTCCTCCCATACCGCAAGGGCTAAATGCCTATTAATGCTAGGGGATGGAGGAAGTGGCTGTATTACTTCCCTCTTCCCTCTTCTGCTCTGGGCTGTGGGTGGTCCCACAGCATCATCCTGTACAATCCTTCATTGTATGTGAAGGAGGTAAGCATGGGACTGCACAAGCACCTTAGAGAGGAAGCTACAGGGGACTGGAGCATACATTGAGGAAGCCTGCAATGTGGAGAGGCCCATTGCCTGGGTATTTTCTCCTTCTGCCCAGAGTTGTGCTTTAACCACTTCATGTCCGGACACTTTCACCCCCTTCCTGCCCAGGCCAATTTTCAGCTTTCAGTGTTATCACACTTTGAATGACAATTGCGCCGTCATGCAACACTGTACCCATATGAATTTTTTAGCATTTTTTTAGACAGATATAACTTTATTTTGGTGGTATTTATTCACCGCTGGGATTTTTTTTTTTTTTTTGCTATATACATGAAAAAGTCCAAAAATTTTGAAAAAAGTTTTTTCTTATAAAATTTTGCAAATAAATAATCTTTCTTCATAAATATTGGCCAAAATGTATTCAGTTATCTTTTTAGAAAAAAAATAACCCAAATTAGTTTATAACCAAAAATTATAACTTTCAAAAAAAATTTTCTACATTTTTATTTTTTTATATTATTATTTATGTTTTTTTTTTTTACATACTGTCTTCCTAGCAGTACAGTGTCCCCATAGTGAGACTGTACTACTTGTGGGGGGTGATGAAGATTTTTTTTTTTTTTTTTTTTACACTGATAGCTTTTACACCCATAAAGGCTATAAAAGCAATAATTTCTCCTTCTCTCTGGCTGCATTCTTGCAGCCACTGAGAAATATTGTGTGAGCTGTGATTGGTCACAGCTTGTCACATGGTACAAGGCTGTTGTGAATAGCCTTGTACCATGTGACCTCTGTGATCATTCACAGATTTCACACGTAGTAAGCAATGATGTCAGAGTGACATCTTGTTTACACCTATTCATGCGATCACTGATTGTCCAGTCGGTGATCACATGATCGGGACCTCACACAGAGGTCCCGTACAGCTATCAGTGTTCCGCTGTGTCCGCCAGACACAGCGGGCACCAGATCTCTGTGCCACATGCTCCTGGGGAGCGTGCACAAACCAAAATGGTGGGCGCCGTTTATGACCAGCAAACCGCCCCCGCACTGCCACTGTCCAGCTGTTTATATACAGCAGTCGGAAGGGAAGTGGTTAAGTGATAAACAAATAAAAGCCATTGGCCATGTAGGACTACCCCATCCACAGGGTGACAATACTGTTGTGCAATTTCACTGGATAATGAACAGCATTGTCACTCTGTTAAAGGAAGTAGAAATTCAGCAGGTCTACTGGCAGGATAAGCAAGTAATAATATTTTTATATGGGGACTTAACTGCTAAGGTTATGGCTTTTAATAGACTGCATCAGATATGTAATTTATTATTTTGTTAATAGTTTCCCTTTAAAATCTTGACAGTATTAGAATAGAATAAATCATATCCCATGTCAGGCATAAAACTAGCTATTTTAATTTTTAACACCAAGAAGGCATTCTTCTGTGATAACTGGTTACAGCTATGTTTGATGAGGTGTTTATAAATCTTATTAATGTGACTGATATGGTTTTTATGACAATGATCTTCAAAGTAAATCACACGGACTTCTCTCCATCAACACAAGAACACAAGACAGGGCTGCCTGCTGTCCTTGATATTATTTATCTCCTTGGAACAGCTAGTAAGATATCTAGATGGGTTTATTACAGCTGTGAATGTGAACCATGGCGTTGATTTACTAAAACTGGAGAGTGTAAAATCTGGTGCAGCTCTGCATACAAACCGATCAGCTGTCATGTTTTTTTGTCAAAGCTTAACAAGCTGAAGTTAGAAGCTGTTTGAGTACCATGCACAGCTGCACCAAATTTTGCACTCTTCAGTTTTAGTAAATCAACCCCAATGTTTGCTGATATACTTCTATTGCTGTCTGACCTCAATGCTGATAAATATTACAGTAGATACTATTGTTGCAATTGTATTTTTTCTAGATTTCTTCTTAAATAAATATAATTCTTTAAAGAATAGCAGGATTGCTTTACTAAAACTGGAGAGTGCAAAATCTGGTGCAGTTATGCATGGTGACCTATCAGCTTCTAACTTCAGCTCAGGGGCAGACTGACTATTCGAGCACTTGGGCACTGCCCGAGGGCCCGGGGTCAGTAGGGGGCCCCATGAAATGCCCCTGGTACCTTTTATAGGCTTTTTTTGAGTGTGGGCAAGGACACAGGGGCCCCATGATCCCCTATTGCCCGGGGGCCCCATGAGTTGACAGTCCGCCCCTGCTTCAGCTTGTTTAATTAAGCGTTGACAAAACAACCTGGAAGCTGATTGGTTTCTATGCAGAGCTGCACCACATTTTGCACTTTCCAGTTTTAGTAAATCAACCCTAAAGACGTATTTGCCCTTTTGTAAAACCAGATCGAAACAGGGCAGGATTAAGTATGAGACAACAAAAAAAAATTCCAAGGGCTATCATGCCCTTAACTACTTCAAGTCCGGACACTTTCACCCCCTTCCTGCCAGAGCCAATTTTCAGCTTTCAGTGCTATCACACTTTGAATGACAATTGTGCAGTCATGCAACACTGTACCCATATGAATTGTTTTGCATTTTTTGAGACAGATAAAACTGTATTTTGGTGGTATTTATTCACCACTGGGATTTTTTTTGCTATATGCAGTACATGAAAAAGTCCAAAAATTTTGAAAAAAAGTGTTTTTCTTATAAAATTTTGCAAATATATAATCTTTCTTCATAAATCTTGGCCAAAATGTATTCAGTTATCTTTTTAGAAAGAAAAATAACCCAAATTAGTTTATAACCAAAAATTATAATTTAAAAAAAAAAAAATTCTACATTTTTATTTTTTTTTTAATATTGTTATTTAGGTTTTTTTTTAACATACTGTCACCCTAGCAGTACAGTGTCCCCATAGTGAGACTGTACTACTTGTGGGGGGTGATGAGTTTTTTTTTTTTTCTTTTACACTGATTGCTTTTACACCCATAAAGGCTGTAAAAGCAATCATTTCTCCTTCTCTCCGGCTGCATTCTTGCAGCCATTGAGAAATACTGTGCGAGCTGTGATTGGTCACAGCTTGTCACATGGTACAAGGCTGTTGTGAATAGCCTTGTATCATGTGATCTCTGCGATCATTCACAGATTTCACACGTAGTAAGCAATGATGTCAGAAGTGACATCTTGTTTACTACTGCTCATGTGATCACTGATTGGCCAATCCGTGATCACATGATCGGGACCTCACACGGAGGTCCCGTAAGTGATCTGTGCTTCCAGAGAGCGCGCACAGGCTGTGAATGCAGGTGCCATTTATAAATGGCAACCCGCTCCTGCACTGCTCCCGTCTGGCCGTTTATGTACATGGGTCAGACGGGAAGTGGTAAAATGATAAGTGCACTTTAAAACAAAGTGCACTTATTCTTTTGTCCCTTTGCCATAAGCTAACCAATCCTACGTTCCCCCTCCACAGATGTATACTTACGAAGATCCAACTGCCACGGTTTCCATTGTTTACTTACTTACCATATCGCATGTCCTTTCTCTCCTGGCTGTGCAGGTGCATTAAAAACCCATAGACTTCTTAAGCCCAGCCACTGTATAAATACGGTGGCAGGGCGGCAGGGCGGCAGGGC